ACACACACTGTCACAGATCTCCTAATCTGCCGCTACATACCATTCCCACATTAAACTCTCTGTGCAAACAGGCTTTGTAAAGACAACACACACATTCTCACACAAAGAGTTCCCGCAGGCCCGCACAGATAACCGACAACTGCGCAACAAATGCACTCAATGCCAAATCGTCAAATATTTACCGCACGCTTATCGTTAAAACCCTGGATGTGTGTGGGTACAGTGCTTTGTGTGCCGCATACCCATGGCTGGCTACTTCAGCATTCAGTCATGTGCAGTGGGGGATGAAAGCACTCAAGAGTACACCCAATTAAACGCCTTCCTCTTGTGTGTGTCTGATTTTGGGTGACAATGGGGACAATGGAGCCGGGGTGACAATGGAGGCCGTTGGTGACAACTGGCTGAATGCATTCAGCCTGCCCAGTGAATCCCAGTCAGGTTCCCACAAGTGAGCGCTTCCTCATTCCATGAGGCAGTTTAAAACAGCAGCTCAAGAGGACGGGAATTCTTTAAGGTGTTTGGTCTAAAGGGGCAATTGAAGGATCTCGTAGCTAGCCCAGCTGTAGCGTGTTTTAGGCCTAACTTTGGACCTAGACACTCTGTTCCACGTGTATTAACTATTAAACTAAATGAAACATTTGTGTCGCGAGACGGTGGTTAACCCTTCGTATGGTTGCTGATTCTGAGATGACTGAAGAAATATTAAGTTTCCTAACAAATGCACCAGAAATAACTCTCAGTTTCACCATTTATGTAAACAAACTGGTAGTATATGGCTGTATTTGTAGTAGTGTTGGAACAACAGAAAAAGAATTGAAAGATTCAGTCAGTGTTTAAATCGTTTTTTAGTTTTTTAGTTATTTCTGATGATGTTTAACTCATTAAACATGACGTTGAAGAAATATCTTTTTTTCTTTTAGGCAAATCTGACTGATATGACCTCAATGCAGTTTAAGATGAATTCTTAGTCCCTACCAACCCAGTCTCACAGAAATTACATCTCTATTCAGTTAAACTGCCTACTCACATCTGTTTTAACAGAATTGTGTTTTCTACCCAACAGGTAAGGCTATGACACCGTAGAAAACCCTTCCAGCATAAAAGAGCCACAAAGTCCATGTTGGACATCGAAGGCAAAGTGAAGGAATAAGTCAAGGTTCAAAGTAATCCTCGTTATCCCAGAGGGGCAGTTTGTCCTACAGTCAGCTGTACACCACAGTGGTCCACTTTAAAAACTACACAACAGACCAAAAATATGACGATAAATCAGCAATTGTTTTTGTTTTGTTCTCACCCTCTGGTTGATTGGATTTAGGAAAATGTCATGCTTTGGCTTAAAACTCACCTATTTCACCATGTTGACTACATGTTCAGAGGTTTAGGAAAATATCACAACCTGGGTGTTTAAAGCTTCTGCTCCATTTTCTAGTTTATCAGGTTAATCAGTTCCACCCCATCTAATATGTGAATGACTGGCTGGAAAGTTGTGATAATTTAAAAACAATACAAACAATGATAATAAACAAACATAATCCAGGAGAAAATAGGTTTCCCCTTAAAATATAACTGAAAAAGCAGTTTAGTTGTATAGGAACATAATGTTTTGGAGACAGAACTGTTCCTGCAGTGCGGGTTGACCAGTACAGTGATGGTAGGATACAGACCTACATAGCGTGCTGCACGTTACACAACTGTAAAGCATGACAGCATATGTTTAAACGCATGATTAGTTTGTGTTTGACAGATGCAGGGACTTCATAGATCCACACATTTTAGAGGAAGCAACAGCGCAGAGTTACATCTAAGCCACTTTAAGGTATGAAAGACTTTATTTTCACTGAAAATGCAAGACAACGATGACTTTATAGGGCTTAAATCAATGGCAAGCAACTTTGAATCAGTCAGGTAAATTTGTAACGTTATCGTATTTCTTTATTAGAAAGCACTTTGGGTCAACGTGTGTTGTTTTGAATGTGCGATATAAATAACAGTGACTTGGGCTGCCTTGACTTTACAGGGCAATGCTTTCAGCCTTGTAAAGCGGTGGATTAACCCCTTGGTCAGTGCTCTCTAGGTGCAATTAAGGTCCCAATCAGAGGGAAGAGGAAAACAAAGAGGTCATTAAAGGCTGGGAAGGAGGAAACACAAGTGAGTGAGTGTGTGTGTGGGTGTGTGTGTGTCCTTATGTGTGTGATCCCACGTCTTTAAGGACAGACTTCAGTGCTTACATAACAGTGAAAAAGCCATGGCGCCAGTTGACTGTGTGGCAGTCAACACAGCCGATCAACTTCTGTTCTTCCATTGCGACCAAGCCATCCATGACTGCTGCCCCCCTGAAGGGCTTTGACCAACTCGTATCTACATCTAGATACAAAGGCTTGGACATGACACGAGGAAAGCTGATCCCCTTTTGAGGGGAAACGCTTTGTTCACTGCAGTGGATCTGAATGCTCCAGAGAAAAACCAAGACATGGATGTCATTGAGTGACAAAAAAAAAGAATCAGTTGAAATCAATGATATGAAACTCAACTCATTTTATTTTTCAATAGTTTAAGTCTTTCACATTTGGGTTTTTTGTAGGTGCACCACTTGTCTTTGATCCTGCTAACAAGCCAGTTATTCCTCTATGTATTTAAATCAACACCAAAATGCACAACAAACTCGTCATTTCTGGTCTGCAACAAGACTTTCTTCCACAACATGATCGATGCCACTTACATTTCGTATGATCTTCCTGACAGCTGGTGAGTCAGGAGCGTAGAGGATCCGTCCCATCAACATTGGCTTGACGGAGTTCCAGACGATCCTGGTGACGGGGTTGGACTCCAGCTCTTTCATCAGATCGTTGCAGAAAGGAGCTTTAGGAGAAGATTATGTGTTAGATAATCACTGTTGCAATATGAGTCAAGCAAGACACTTGAACACCTGTAGCAGACTGTCGAATACGCCTTACAACAAAGAATTTGGCAACCAGTTAGGAAAACTGGGTGGCTTATTAAACCACAAACGGGTCATTTGTTTCCATGCTCATCTAAATATGTTTTGTATCGCATTGGGTGGGTTTTGGGTGAAAAGCACAATAAACAATTTTATTAAATGCATGATAGATTCAGAAAAAAACATGTTTTCTCCTTCATGACACATTTCCAAGGTGGGCTAAAAGTTTAAATGAACATTTTTTGGATTCCTATCTATCATGCAATTCGAGCAGGGAGGTATCTGTTTCTCCCAAAATGAATTCTGCAGCATGACATTCACCCCAAACATGCAGCCAAAGCCATAAAGATCTATTTAACAAGAATGCTGACACAGAACGTGGACCAAAATCACAACCTTCCTGGAAGAAGTAATGAAGATCTCCCGATATTGCGCATAAATTAAAGACAGTGACTCCAAACCAGATGTTGCTCTAAGCCTTTGGATGGTCTTCTCTTATGTCGTATTATATTCTGTGTCATAATAATACTCGATGTACTCACTGGTGCTGTTGTCATATGTGTAGTGGCTCTGCGCCCAGCCACTGCTGATACCCAGGAAGGCTTTGTAGTTGTTGTCCTCGTACCAGTTGAAGGAGGTGACTCTGGAGAAAGCCCCCTCGGTGTAGCCACACACCAGGCTGGAGGCAGCAGCCATCACCTGCCTGAAGGACAGATTGTTCTGGAAGAGAGGAGTCATGACCTGGATAAACTCCCTGGAGCTTCTCCGCTGGAAAAACTGTAGCGAGATAAGAAAGGACAACAGAGCTTAACAAAGAAAGCAGAAGGCCTGTGGATTTCAACACTTCTCCTATGTGAAAGATGTATTCACATAAGATAAGTATTACATTGTCATATATGTAAAGAATCAAAGAGACTCCAATATTTATATGTTGAGAAATATTAATGGTATTGTTATAATGTTTTACAGTAAAAACTCTCTCTGCAGCCACTTCACTACGACAAAACACATAATTTGACAAGATCTTACGATGTGAAATATATACAAATGAGAAAACCTGTGACGTGTTATTGATTTGAATTCGACATGTCAGTGTCATAATTTTAATAGAGGGCCATACAAACTAAAATACCATACACATGATAACCCTACATGTTAAATGTAGTCCGTTTAAGACTCAACAACATGCAGCGACTTGTGTATTTGAGTGATGAGCATCATGTGCAGGAATTTTGAAACCTGACAGATGTGCTCATCCTGATGTTTTCCTATGATGTCACCACAGAACCAATGCCCTTAATGCCATTTTAGATAGTTTAACGAGAGATAAACTATCTGCCTCACTACCATTTGTTGAAAAATCGTTTTTTCAGATGAACTAAGGGGTCAAGGTTTTGATTTTTTGGGGATCTTCCTTTTCTGACGAGGAATGCCTCGTCTCCTGACAGAGACAAGTGTCTCGCCGACAGGATGTCAGACTGTCAGCTACGATGAATGTCCCATGGAAACATCCACAACAAACACAGCAGTATCTCCACACACAGACATAAACAAAATGCTTAAAATACAGGTAGACCACAAATGACACTTAAGTCTAACTTTAAGTCACGCTTGCTAAAGACAATTGTGTTTATCCTCTGAATGCAGCTTATCCCGGAGTGACTAAGTTAAACCCGACTGAAGCAAGACACTTCATTAGTCAAAACATGGTCACACTGAGGAGGGTCACCCAAGCAAAGGAATGCATGTAGACTTAAAGTTAGTGCGATGAGGACAAACAGATCAATTAATCACCACTGTTGTTCAACCTTTTCCATGACTGAGGCTTCACCTGTTCTTGCAGCCTCAGTGATTTTTTTTTTCTCTTCCCATTAGGATGGTCCCATAATGATGATGTATGTGTTTTTGAGGCTAAATGGGCCTGTTCTGAATTTAGCCTTCCTTATACGCACTAAATGATATCCCCCTACTGTCTGTGTTTGCGTAAAAACTCAGGCAAAAGGAAGCAACTGCTTCCTGACAGCTAATAATAGCAAGCAGTGAACTTTTGAATGGAGCTACTGCGGCTGCATGGGCCTGCTCTTACCTCTTGGAGTTTGTCCGAAGCGGCAGAGACAACACGTACCCAGAAGTTAATGTCAATGCCTTCAGAGTGATTGTCCAGAACAAGAGGAAGCTGATGAGAAACACAAACAAGGAATGAATGAATGCTTGAGTGACTTTTTCCATCTTCACAATTCATCTTCAAATTTTCAAAAGCTGACACCACATTCTTCATAAACCCGTTTCTTCCACACACAGACACTGTTAATAACAGGTGACAAAATCCATAGCGACGTAAACATACTGTGGTGAAAAATAAGTGGAACACTGCAGTCATCGTTCGTATGTTTTTGCTCTCCCTTATCTTTACCTGACCGTTGCTTTCTATTGAGGATCTGCTGGTTTGCTCAGAAAGCCCACAACACAATAGGCTAAAGGTTTCAGGAAGCAGCACGAGGCCAAGACATAGAATTGCCAGTGGAAACATCCTTCCTCTTTGTCATTTCTTCCTTTCTCCATACATGTGGGTGAGAGATTGGGGGGAAGTGGGGAATCTGAGTAAAATTCATCTCAGCAGTCCGCTAGTTACGAGAATCATTTGGATTTGTTGGATTTATTTCTGTAATTTTGAAAGATATTTACTAAGTGAAGCGTCTTGAAATGAAACGTTGTGAATGTAAATAAACTGAGTAGCATTTCAGGCCGTGTCTGTAGCCATGCTGGACAGTAGTGATCCACAATGGGGGAAAAAAACAATGACGTTGAACAACTTGAGAACAAGAACACAAGGAATGGTGGTAAAAGGCAACATCTTTTGTTGCTGCTGCGCAAACAGAGACAGACAAGCACATAAAACTAAGCACACTTGGCTCTGTCCCATGTGTGTCAGCCATTGTTGTCGTCCGTCTTATTGTGGATCATGTTTACTCTCACTGATTGCTAAAGAGAGCAGCGTCTACGCTAAGCTAATTACAGAAAGAGGCCAAGTCTGCTCAGCTAATGCTTACGGTTTTTACACATTGTTTGCATTACCCCTGAGGCATGTAGACAGAGCTGGAGCACACTATGGATTTAGTCTTTTACAGACAATTCATTCATTCTTTTTGGATGTAATTAAGTTTCTTTAACCTTTGCCTGATTTTTAAATGTGCAGACAATACATTCTAGCTGTGGCAAAAGTTGCATGGTAAAATGTCTCTAATGCATAAAGTGTTGTTTTGGAATTTCGGTTTTGTTTTTTGTTTTTTCAGCACCATGACTGGAGAATAAGGTAGTGTTTACTCTGCACTGCATTTCCCTGGGAAATATTTGTCCCGCCCTATGAGTCACAGCCCTTATAAAAATACTAACATCTGTTTATCCAATGTGTCTGTTGGCTTTAAACGTGATGCATGTCAGACAATAGGCTTGTGTGAGCTTGTTAGGTTTTGGTCTGGATGCCATACGTGCACAAACTGCTGATGGGGAGTCTGACCAGAGTGGAAACGAGAAGCTCAAAATGTACAAAATGACTTCATTCTGAGCTGATGATGCAATGAGAAAACCCTGAATCATGAAAGCTTTGCCTGAAGTCAGTGAAATGAGTAGGTAGCTGTTAAAACGTTTTGCTTTCATTATCAGTATTGTTTTTAAAGGGTCCAATTAAGATATCTAACATGTATTTAGTTGCATTTTCAGTTTCCCCATTTGTTGGTTACGACATACGTTAAGAAAATCTGCTATCAATTTGCCAACTACATGAATGCATTAATTAGACACGCTGTGGCTTAAAGTTAACACTTTATGACATTGCTTGACAACTATTTTACATTATCCTGCCAAATCCTATACCGTCCGATGCCAGCTTAACATCAAGACATTCAGTCAACACAAGGCTCAGCGTTGTCCTGCCTTCTCTTGTTATTTGCAACTTACCCGTTGCAAACAACATGGCAAGATCCCAAATTGGATGTATCCAAATGCAACTCCATACCGCCCTTTCCTATTTCCATTAACTAACTGCCAACTTTCAGTATGATGGCATTTCTTTAAGCTGCATACAGTCACCAAAAATGGATTGCTTAATAGTTTTACTGGCAAGACTGTAAGCAGTGTGTAAATTTGGAAAAGGCACTCCCAGTTAAATTATGGAAGGATTAGATTTGATTGTGCAGACATTTTTTAGAGGTTGTGTCAGTGAAAGTGGAAAGCCAACAGATGAGGCTGTTTCAGCAGAGAGCTTTAGAACATGTACACAACCTACAAGTGGCATTTGAGTGTGGTCGTTTAGTCCTTCTGGTAATTTCAGTATATTTATACTGCTGTCTACGTCAGCCCTCCAAATCCAAGAATAAACCAACACTGACCAGCCGGAAGACTTTGAAGAAGTCGACGTTGGCGTAGAATTTGTCCTCGATGATCTGCAGCCGCTGTGGGGTGAGGATGCACATGGCGTTGCGAACGGCGTAGAGTCCTCGGCGGCTGGGGAAAATGAGGAATCGCTCCAGAAGGTTCAGGCTGCAGGCGATGTCTTTTAAATGCAACTCTGGGACTCCAAAAGCAAACTGGAGGGGGGGAAAAAAGTAGACAGGAGATGTGTAGTAGCTGGGTTAGCTGGAACACCAAATATACAGATGTAGAGTTTTATGTGATTTCACTGTGATGTCTTTCAGTTTCTTAATAAAAAAAAGCTGGTGACAAATTAAAGGAACAATCTGAACCCTTGTGAAGGGATTTGGTGACTCTGTTGTGCTGTGGGAAGCTTTTTGCTGCCATTGTTTGGGTCCACTTGTCCTTTGAGAGGGAAGAGTTACTGCAAATTAAGTTGTTCTGGGTGGTCACCTTTATCCTATGATGAAACGTTTCCCTCCTGTTGGTTTGAGTATCTCAGTCCAACTCAACACCTATGATAGATTTTAGACCAACATGTTTGACAGCACTCTGCACCACCACCAACATCATTAAAACACCAAATGAGGGAATATCTTTTGGGAGAATGGCGTTCGTCCCTCCAGTAGAGTCCCAGGCATGTGGTGGCGCAGCACCTTGGTAAGACGCTCGATGTTGTTTTTCCTTTAATCCGTCACCCATCTGTATATTTTGTGCTTGTGGTTTGACATCTGTACTGTTTACATCAATACTTCATGTCAGTTGCTCAAATGCCACAATAGAGCAGCCGTTCCAAGAAACGCTACGAAGGGAACAAGTCATTACTTGGTAAATACTTTCAACAAAAGCCGAAGTCTCTCTTCATGTTTAATTGCGTTCCAGCAGAAACCAACTTGCTGGCATGCAGATGTTCTGATGCACAGGTTGCTGAACAAGATCTCAGAATGAATGAGATATTGCTTAATTAATGCTAAAATGCTACACTGTGCACCGCAACACTATGTGTGTGTGTGTGTGTGTGTGTGTGGCAGTCTGTTTATGCATGGTTGTGAGTGTCCACGGACCTGTTCAGGCCTGATTTGGGCATTAACTAGATGATACACCACAGACTCTGTCAGAGGAATGTCTCTCAGCAGGAATGACGTCAGGGTCTCATCGTCCTTTAGGATCGTCTCCACCTTTACTCCTCGGCCTGCAGAGAGAGACAGAGCGATTTCACACAGAGATAAAGAACAGTAACTTTAATTGTCCTCAGATGTATATTAGTTTTAAATAACGTAATATTGTTCTTGCAAAATTTCCTTTTGAGTCAGACAGTGGATAAACTGGATAAGTAGAAAAAAACGGGATTCTTAGTGACGCATATTTTGGGCAAGTTGCAACAAATCTGCTTCATTAAAAAGATAAAGGTTGAATACTATCCACCTCTGCACGATTACACTATTTCCAGCGGCCTGTCTGTGCACGAACAACGTTAGACTTGCTAGACAAAGTGCTGTTCTGGCTTCTGTCCAGGTCCTACGGTTGCTGAACTTGCTTAGTGATGCACTTGTAGAAAACAACACAGACGGTAAAGGCAAGACACAAAGTGGAAATGAGGGAAATGTTCATCCCCCAGAGGGGACGAGTGTAACGAATGGAAACGGAATGGAAAAGTCCTGAAAGCACGTTTCTGCCAGAAGGGGAGATCGTGTATGTTTCCAAAATAAAGTATGTTGAGATTAGAGACATTTGATCGGCAAGTTGTATATTAGATGTGAGTATATCATGTAACAAGCTTGATTTTGTGCTTCCGAAACTTTACGTAAGATTATTTGTTGGAAAAAAACAGAAGATGTGAGCTAAATGACCACTCGTTTTTGTATAAGAGGTAAAGATATAAGGCAAGTCAATGTATAGCTGGCTAAAACAAAAGCTCAGTCATGTTGATTTGTTTTGTACAGCCAATATGTGCATTATTATAGCCATCTAAACTTGTAATGTGGCAGTTCCATAGGAATACAGACACCATGAGATATAACGCTGTCATCAGCAGCCACACCAGCTCAGCATAATGACTGGAAACAAGCAGCCCAGCTCTGAGTGTTCACTGGTTGTCTAGCACCTGCTCAAGGCCAAGAAATAATCCCCCATAAAGCCTCCATTAAACAGCACCTTTTCGTTTTTGCGCTTCGGCCTTTGTGAAGACGATTAAACAAATGAGAGTGAAGTGTGAATTAGTGAGCATTAGAAGTGCTGGCAGGCGCCGGCTGATTAGCTCCATGTTTAGCAGACAGTTATGAGAGTTGATGAGGTTTTGTCAGCCAGCTCTCTGCCAGAAAACAAATAAGAGCACTTCAGGAAAATGACGATCCAAGGTGCCATCGCTGCCACACAGCAGGCGTTTATTATGGAGCTCCTCACACACATTTACTCAAAGTCGAGGGCCCTGCACGCCGAGTGTGTACATCAGCTCGAACAGTTTTCCGTTTAATACGACCAGTCATGAGTCAAATTCATTACTTACGTAACTCGGTTCTCAACATGATTCAGTTTTCTTTCCAGGGGCTCATGGGAACTTGATTGGAATGTGGATCTGTATCTCTGTTAGCTCTGTTAGTCCATCTACATATTTCTCCATGAGAGTGGCAGCGCAGAGAGCAGCCAGACATAATCATTCACAGGCTGGAATGCACTCAGCCTCATTCCACTCCCATCATAAAGGTTTATTTTGCCAGCAGGGAAACATGGTGTATATACATGTATGCATGAGCAGAGAACAGTCCGCATGGGGTCCCTGGAGATGGGATCAGAGTTTCTGACTGAGCGGATGGGCAGCACGTGAACTGCTTTCCCACCAAATAAACAGCAAGGCAACGTAAGCAGCTTACATTACGGGCCTGTCTCGAGCCCATGTGATATAATCGTGTTATACTGTACAAACACGGGCGGACTGATGGGAAAATACGTGACTGTGACGCAGTTTTTGGTGGATGGTGGATTCAAGGTTTAAAACACGATTAGACGGTTATTATCCCCCGGGATTAGAATATGAAAACCTCATATGTTTCACAATACAACACACAAAAGTAGTACCTGAAAGCAGACTTAATAGCTCGCGAGGTTAACTGTAGTCGAGGTGTATAATATCATTTATATAAAATTCTGACAAGGAAATCCAGAGAGCAGATTTATCACCTGTGACAATGAAGCAGCTACTAGGAGTAAACTCACTGACCTCGGCTTTGCTTCTATAGGCTCTGATGTTTTTGTGGGATGTTGATGAAAGCCCGGAGCACTGACCTGAGACCTGTTCGGGATGAGTGCGCAGAGTGTCCATGAAGTTACTCATGGAAGTCATTTCCCTCCAGAGGCGACCCAGCTGGAGAAACTCTGGGTCACTTAAAAGAAGCTCTTGAGCGTCCGAATAGAACTGAGCCAGTCTGAAGGCCAACAACAGAAGACACTTTAGTAAACAACAGTTTAACGACACTCACATATATGTGCATGTACACGTTGCGGTTTGGAAGTCAAACTAAATACATCCTCCTTGACTCCATTACATAATTTTTCTTCTGAGAGCAAATATTTCGTAGGAATTCAGCACCACGGGATTAAACGGATCACCCTCTGCTCGCCCAGGGTGATGCTTACATGGAGTTGTTGTAGTTGGACACCAGGCCAGGAGATTCACCACGGGTGGGGTATTGAAAACAAGGGTTGTTGGCATTGCAGAAGATTCCCTGGATCCATGGCAGGACACCAGCTGAGGGCATGGCCTTGTTGGGGAAGTGACCTGAGGTGGATGAGATTCTGTTGGCTTTCTGTGCTTTACACCAGTATTTTAGAAACATTTACGAATACAGCCGAGCACAGAGGATGTCGTTTTTGTGGTATAGGGTTGTTTGCTCACATTCATGCTGACGGTAGAGCGGGTTCACTCTCCTCAGCCACACCAGTCCCATGAACAGCATGACAGGCCACATGATCTCCATGAAGAAACGGACCTGGTTTTAAAAAAAAGTGAAGTTTGTTTTCAGTGAGTCATCCACTTAAAAGATGTTAACCAAAGTGTTTCTGATGCTCAAGTCATCCTGAGTGCATCCATAGAAGGCACTTCTTTTAGGTTCTTGACGACGTTCCACCTCTCATCCAATAAATACCTGGGCCTCCCCATGAGTGACTTATAAATGAGCAAGCTGCAGAGATGAAACGTCGTCAAGAGCTAAAAACAAGTCCGGTCGCCTTCTATGGAAACGCTTATATGCGTCTCCAGGTAACAACTGGTAAACTGATGCAGTAGGCCAATAATCCCCGGGCTCCACATTCTCACTCCGTAAATACAGATCGAGCTGTAAATTAACACCGAGTTTAACGATAATACGCAATGATGTAAGAGGATACCGCTATAGAAATCAAGCACGTAGCGGCATACTGCGGAAATACATTGAAGTCTTCGTTGTGCATCTATAATGCAAAGTATGTTATCTGATATGATGAAAACTGGTACATGTTACTCAGATGTATGTTTATTATGTGTTAATTTAATCTGACCTGTGACAGATTTTGCAAGTTTGCAGCATAAAGCAATAAAGATGCTTTAAATACATTAAGTTATATTTTTAGTTTAGTTAAATGTTCAAGACTTATGTTTAAAAAATAAAAAAAAAGTGGCAGCAGAAGATAAGTTGGTGTGTATGGATATTTTTGATGTAAATCAATATGACAAATAATCCTTCATGTAGAGACATTTCAGCCAACTGTAACTTTCACTGTGACAGCTGTAGTGTGCAGCTGATGGATGAGAAAGTTTTACCCTCTGCCTCCTGCGAACCGTCCAGTTCTTCCACAGCAGGAGTCTGACCTGTCGTCCTGCCCCCATGGCTGCTCCTTGTGACCCCCGCAGGGGCTGCTTCCAGCCAACAAACCTGTCCACAACAATCCTATGAGCTAAACAGAACTTCCTTATGTTTTACCAACATGTTCAAGATTTTAAAATGTAATTTAATGACAGAGGGCTAAATGAGGCTTCATTACAAATCAGCCCGTCCATTCATTTGGTGAGAGCTCATGTGAAAGCTAGCAATAGCTCAGTAATGAGGTTAATGAGATCAGGGGACTTCACATGGTCAGCGTAACCTGTGCACAGTCTATATATGTGCTGATATTACTATTCATGGTGGATGGCGCGACCCAAAAACAGGAAAAATCGCACATCCCCGGCACACATACAACACTTAGTTTAGCTTTAGTCAGGTAAAACTATTATGCAACTTTATGACTACGCCTTCACGAATTAGATCAACTAGGACCAAAGCATATAATACAACATCACTTACCCTCAGAAGAACACTTGCACCGTAGGTTGATGCTCAATAAATAAAGCATAGCACCACATAGTCTACCGAGTGTTCCTTGTGCTTGCTAACACAGCTTGTTTGCAGACCTTGTGAATAGTTAAGCAGATTGATTTAATCTCCTTTCTCAGCGCTGGAAGGCTGTGAACTCTCTGCTTCAATCCGTGGAGGCGTACATGGCCTGACCACATGGCCTCCATTATACTGTATAATCCTACCGCTGATATAATCCTGCCTCCATTTAAAAAGAAGCATTCAAACTTCTGTACACTATATTTCGATTAATAAATATCACAATGAGATTTCCCCAGTTTATTACATTAGGACAATTATTTTTTTGGATCACAGGTTTTCTAAAATATGCAAATTAAGCATTACCTCATTATAAATGTGCAAATTTGCATGAAGAAATCTAAATATTGGATAAAGCCAACTTCTAATTTATTGCTTCATTTTGCTGATATATTACAGTCAGAGGGTTTTACAGGAGGGGAAATCCATTTTAACCATTGCATATATCAGAAAACACTGTCAACAGCCAGGGAAAAAAAATAAAAAAATAAAAAATTCTAAGCAGATATGTTTATAAAATATATCACAATGTTACTAACTAATCTTGTAGAAGTAGTTTTAGTAGTTAATCTGTTACTAAGTGAGAAACTGATGACCTGAGTCTAACCATTGAAGCACGACATCCACAACAGTAGACGGTTATGTTTTCACTCATAGAACAAGAAGGACAAAAGCCGTATGACTAAATCTTTGCTCAGTTTCCCTTCTAGACAGTTA